AGAAGCAGGGACACAGTGGCTGGCTCTGGCCAGTGGAACTGAAGGCGGCTTTTACAAGACACGGCACGGCCCTTCATACCTTGCTTTGCATCGGTTTCCTTCAGGCTTCTGTCGTTCGCTTACTGCGGACCTGTAAGCCCTTTGCCTTTCTACTGCAATCCTTATTTTGAGTCATGCTCTTATAGAACCCAGGATATATGCAAATCACGGAAGCTGCGTCCCTCGACCACCATGAAATCTGCTTCCCTGTACTGATCATCCCAAATCCGTTCAAGGATTCACTTGGGCCCCATAACATACCCTCCAGGCGATCTTGCAACTGACCAGGGCCTCAGGAAGTCGAGATGATGGCAAGGCGATCTCCTGCAGTGATACTGTGGATGGAGGAAATCTTACACCACCGCATCTACCTCATAGACTAGAAAGTACAGTGCTCCGTCCAACGTAGCGGTGTAGTGGAGTATGGGCCTATGACGAACCACTGAAACTTCCCAGGTTACTGGCACGAGTAGGACATATGCGCAAACTGCAGAAACTTATGTGCCAAATCTGCTTAGGGCGCTCGGGATGTTGGAGACAACCCTGACGCTGTGCATCACAACAAGAATCCTCATCATAGGTCCACTGGAGATCTTCCTTGCGGTCCTTCTCAGCCTCTCTGCAAGGCCAGGAAAAGGGCTGGGTCCCTTCTGTAAGCTTGAAAAATTACTCCTACTGTTCCCTAACTGTCTTGTAAACTCTGCAGTGAACTACGCCCACATTCTGCGGGAACCTTTTCCGACTGCTTTTACCCGCGCATTCGATGTGAAGAAAGCCTAGCAAATTGCATGCTACCCATGTTGGTGCAACTGTCTTGTCTTGCATGTTAGCCACGGGGTTTCTAGAATGCTTGGGCATTGGAATTTTCTCTTTGGGTGACGTTGAAGGATTTGAGAAAAACTCCCATCAACCTGCAACCACACCCTAGATTAACCATCAAGTCTAAAATCCTGAGCCCTCATCAGAATGGCTTGAAGCTCAAGATGTGGTGACACGGGGACTTTCAGGCTAGAAGGCCCAAACACGGACTCCAAAACCGCAAAACCCTGCACCTGGACCCTGGTTCCTATTCCCGTGTAGAGCAGGGCCCCCAGACTGTGCGCCGCCGCAGCTGGGCTAAGCGTATGGCAGCTTGCCTGCTGTCATTGCAGGGATCATGGAGTCACAGCTTCTCCAGATGGTGAGCCGATATTGGGGAATTACATGGATAATATAATGGATCTATGGGGATTGTTGGGGGTATAGCAGGTTTCTCAAACAACATGTGAGCCACTCTTGGGGTAATGAGGACTGAATTGGAGGATCCCGACTCCGAGCAAACCCTTATAGACAATAGATTCATAAGTATGTCAGGGAACTAGCATGTTGATAGACTGCCTTTAGAAAGCTAAAACGCCTGTAATGCTGGACTGTCCCAAGGCCTCTGCTGCAAACCACCAAACCCCTTGTCCCTGCAAACTCTGATCCTCAGACCCCAGCTCCAAAAACCAAATCCCCATTTACAAGCCCTCACACAATAGTTTCAGAAAAACAGGGCACCTTTGAGGCCCCTTCAGGGAAATGTTGGGATTAGAAGAAGCCTACTACATATAGTGGTCCCCGGAAGCATAACATGGGAAAAAAGTTGAATAGGTTTCAGCCATGACCTTGCCTGGCAGACTCGGAGATCTGCGCCTGCAAGCTAGGATTTTGGGATTAGGGTGGGAACTCTAGAAAGCTTTGCTGAACAACTAAACCCCGCATTGAAGCTAGGCAAGCTAAGCGAATTTAGGACAACTTCATGGTTCAGGCATTTTCGCCCTTCTACACTAAATGCCACCGTTCCACAAAGACGGAGCGAATGCCGGACCCGGCCTTCTGCGACTTCACTGCGCGCAGCTGTTCCTGCACGTGAGCTCAGTCTCTGTCGTTCTTCAAACGGCACTGCCGAGGTCCCACCAAAAATGGTCTTGCAGGACCATCTTCGCATCGAAACAGAAAAAGTTCCGCCATGGAACCAATGCAGGTCTCCGTCACTTTACATCTCAAGAGACCCTTAAAAACAGAGACACCGGAGTCCATGCTGGGGCTCTTCAGTCGAATAAGGCGGCCTCGACTTCAGTTGTTTGTTGCTGCTCTTTTGCCAGGTCTGCCTTGCACAAACGAAGCGCTCCAAGCATGGAAGAAGCGTCTTCGTCGCAGGTGCAGTCAGAATGAAGCCGCTTTCTGCGTGTCATTTATGAAAGCCTCAAAGTTTCAGCTCCCGGCCTTGTGATAAGCACTCATCTACTTAAGCAACCAACAGCCACTTCTCAACGATCAGAATACATGCCCTAGTTGCGCAAACAGAAAGCACCAACCCCAGAATGGAACAAGAATCCTTGGGAAGGAGTGTGGCCTGAAACTGGCCCAACTCCTGCAGGATCTCCCCATGACGCTCTGTCAACCGAGATACCTGGTTGCACAGAAAGGCTCAGGCAGCCAAAGCCCTGATCTTGTGCAAGCCTGATACCTGCCACACATCTTTTTGCTAGAAGCTTTCCGACTGAGAAAAGATGCCAGCGTCATCACTTGAAGAGCCTCATGCTCACTCCCTCGCCTCGTTCACATCGGCAGCATAAGCCTCCTGTCGCCAGAGCTGAAGGCCCAAAATGGTAGCATAAGTCGGCGCATGCACAGCGAACGATGCAACCACATGCTCTGGAAAACAGGGATGGCACCCAATGGCTGCCCCATTTTGACTTGTTCTAGGAACTTACTAAAAATAGCTTCCAGTCACAAAAAATCACACTCACCATCACTCACCGCCCACGCAACTGGTGTGTCTACAATGCCCCAACCCTGAACTAATTCGGCGCATGTGCGTGGTGAGCGCAATGAAAATGAACCACAGTCTTAATCAAGGCATCCAACAAGCTCCTGAAGCTCGCGGCTGTGACGGCTGCCCGCTGCGACGGCTTGTCGCGTCTGCTCCTGGAGTCTTCTTACTCATGGAGAACGTCCGCGTCCCCGCACCAAACCGTCGCCATCTAGCATGTTGCTAGGGTTTCTGGGTAGATAGGGTCAGGTATGTTATATGAACAGCAAACTTGAGTGAGGTGCAGAGATAATGGGCCTACTACCTTGTGCAACAAAACTTCCCAGGTCAGAGAATGTGGCGTATAGCCCAACTAACTACCTGTAAGACTTGATGAGACTTAAGTGTACTACACTCAGAAAAGGTGTTTCAGCGTAGATATGCGTAGATCATTATCCGCCGACGTCAGGTGCCCTTCATAGCATGATGCCTAGTCAAGGGGCTGGAAATGTAAAATCCCTTTGGGCTCTGCAAGCTTCTATGCAACCCCTTGCATATTGGAGAGGCCCATAGACCCTCAAAACCTACTAATTTGAAGTACAACGCGACAACTCAAACACAACACAACTGTTTTGGGCACACAAGTAGCAAGGAACCGGCAGTGTTGAGAAACTTCCCATATGATCCTTTTACCATTCCGATGCAATGTCGCATAAAGACCCGAATATGCCCCAGACTCTGAGCACAAGCACCAAACGCTAAATCCCGAAACCCCCGCGCCTGCTTCTCCAATGCCTGCGCCAAGCCTTGGCGGAGCGCCCGGGCATCAGCGCGGCTGCGTTGGAGCCTTTTCACGGCATGGTCTTGTCTGGAGGTGAGCCGCAGGGTGCACGCTTCTACAGGGTGCATAGGGTGTAGGGTGTCGGGGCATCGGGTTTGTGATTTGGTTGAGGGCTCAGGGTCTAGCATTAAGGTTGGAGATCTGGTGGAAGGTTTAGGGGGATTGAGCTGTAAGTCTTCAGGATGCAAGTGGCATCCAGGTTAAGGGTGGGGACGAGGTTTACCTCGTGAAGCCCGGCGGCGGCACGGTAGTGATAGATTGGGAACTAGACTGATGAAGAGGCTTAGCGAGAATAGCGAAGGAATAGCAAAGGGATTCCAAGGATGCATTTTTCCAATAGAATGTATGCCGCTACAGGTGGCACGTTACTTAGTTGAAGAGCCATGAATGATAAGATCAGGATGCAAAACATTCTGAAGTCACGAGACTTGAACGACTCTGATCGTTTAAGGTAGGATTCAGGAGTTCCCTGTCTTGCATTGTTTTTCAAAGTTGGGATGCAGGAGTTTCCGCACGGACTATCAAGGTATCCGGCCTGCCTCTACATGAGGAGACCCAAGGTTTCCTAAAATCAAAATACCAAGGTTCTGAACCCTCATTGCGATATTTCCAATTCGGTTCCCCATGTTCCGACACCTTGCATGAGGACACCTCTATTGCGCGACATTGCCAGAAGGGGCATCTCAATCTGGAGATGAAGGATACACTAGGATTGTGTGCCGATTCAAAGGGTTACTCCGCACAGCAAACATACTGGTTCTGAGAAACGCCCTTCGATTGTGCGCGTCAATGCAGGTTCAAAACCAAGAGTCAAGAGTCCTGGCATTGGGCCCTGGGGGCTGGTACTCGGTTGGAAGGGAGGGTGGGCTGTGGTCGGAATGCTAGGGTTAGGGATTTACGCCATTTTCCGTCGCAACCTGCAGTCCATGCCGAAGAAAGGCGCAGATGCGCAAATCAGCTAGGGCTGCAGTAAGGCCTCAAAGGGAAAGACGGAGGAATCACCATCATCATTATCGGTCAATATGAATCACAATAGCTTCCTGTGAAGCAATGTGTTCGACTCTCTTGGAACAGAACAAACAAGGGTGCCAGGTCACTCTCTCTCTCTTCGCGCCATGAGCGGACTTCAAGATTGCGGTGGGACGCAGGAGCCCGCAAGCTCTCGTCCGCAAGCCTTACAAAAGTGGCTTTGAGGTTGAAATCTGTCGAAACAAGCACAAGCTTGCGTCAACAACCTGCTGAGCGGGCCAAGAGCCCAACTATAAGCAGTCGTCCAGCACCACGCTTCTCATGAGACACATTCTACGAGCCCTAAAGCGGCAGCTTCGGCCAGTGGCCAGCAGCTCACATCTTGGAGGTCGCGGTTGACCATTTGGCGTTCCATGTGGCGGAGGTGCCTGGAAGGCTGCCACCAAGGTAAAGCTGAAACTGAAATCAATCGACTGGGCCTGAGGGATCTCCGTAACATTACATTGGGGTTGCAACCGGATGGCAACCCTGCAGTTATCTTGGATGTCTGGCATTGGGATCTCCCCGGCCTAGCCCCAGCAGAAGGGTATGGGGGCCAATCCTAGCAAAGCTCATTGCATACACGGTACGTGCCAGGAACTCCTTGGAGTTCAACCTCCAGTTGTTCTTCACGCACTCCTCAAGTGGCTGCAGAGGTCGCACCGCAGAGCGCTAGTAGACATATAAATATGTACTTAAGCAGATGGAACTCCATACTTGGTAGACCATCGTAGACCCAAATGTTTCTTTATTCCCTATAGACTCCTACACCGCTGCAGACTATAGCTACAGCGCTGCGCGAATACTTGTATGATAAATACTCTAAATCCCAATGTCCGCAGAAGGCTCAATGCTAAATCTTCTGTCAGGTCTCCTGGAGCAGCTCTGAGGGCTTCAATCCCATTGCCTCCACCTGGCTGCGTGAGCAACTGGAGCTACCAGGAGCTTCCATCTTCGCTGGGTTTTCTGGGGTTTTCGGAGCAGCTAGCTGCGAATCAGCTTAGGCATACGGATTTGGTCAAATCACCCTGAAAACTGCCGTCTAATCCGTCATCTGACCTTCTGGGCAACAAGCTTAAATAAGGATGATAGCGGAAAGACAGTAACGGCGCTCACAACTTTTTGGCCTGAGCACGGGGGTGTACACAGTACAGCACCGAAGCACGATCAAATCGCAGCAGAAGCAGCAGCAGCAGGAGGTGCCTTGGAGAGCACCTTGGGCAGCCCCACGGCCGACCTTTTTGTCGCAGAACTTACTGGAGCTTCAGGGGTCGCAGAGAAGTCTATATCGGCAGATACGTGCGTGTGCTGATTCTGCAAGGATCATTGTCCGATTCACTCTCCATTCCCAGCAATCCTTGCAATCACAATTCGCGAAAAGACTTCTGACCGGATATTCCGCACAAATTCAATCTCATGATTAGCAGCAGAAGACTGTCCCAGAGCTTTCCCAGTTTGCGAGGCCGTTTAAACCCCTGCTAGTGCAGTCTTGTGTGCCGGTAGCGCTTGCTGCTGTGCTAGTCGAACTCTGCTGCGCGCTAAATTGCTGCAAAATGCTCTTAAATATGGCCGTCACGGCAAGCTCTGCGGAAAGAGAGCATGCGAAGCAGCAGCGGAAACGAAGAACACTGCCAGAGGCAGTGTCCACGACTGAGTCTAGCACGCCCATTGCATTGGCCCTCCGCGATATCTGGGCCAATTGTAACCTCACAGGGATAAAAAGAACAGAAATCACCGATTTCCGAAATGGTGCAGGGCCAAGTTGTGCTCTGTTCAAGAATCGACTAAGACTGGAAAACAGCTTTGTGTAGCATGCTGGAGCCCACACAGAGGTGCTGAAGCTTCGTCTACCCGATTCCTCAGGCTACATGACACTGATAGCGAGCCGTTGTTTCCAGTATTTAAACCGTCTCACCCTCTCTGTCACCCAGACATAGACCACTGTATCAGCCAACTCTTGTCAGCTTGCCGTCCAGAAGCCAAAGACACAGCACACGTCGATATCACTCGGTCTGATGGCCATGCCCTCTTCGAGACATTTGAAGCCTGCGGCAGGCTGGGTAAGTAAAGAGCTGCCAGAGCTTCCGCTGTAAACAACTTTCAAAACCAAAGCCGCTGCTTGGCTTCAAGAATACAATGCACCTTCATTCACGACCGGCAGGTACAGCATGTCGATGACGTCTTCCTTTGCATGCCAGACGTATGACTACTCAATTTGCTGTCAATTATACGATCATTTAGCCTCACAGAGCAGCGTTCTCAAGCCCTGTACCTTCTTCCGTTATATCCCTTCGGACATCTCAGATTGGAGTGCAGGACTCAAAAACACGTCTTGCCTGGCCTTCTCCATGGACTGCTTCTGGACGCCAATATTTTGCCAGACCTGCACAGCACCCTTTCGAGATCTCCGTATCAGGAGTTGAGGTGGCCATTCCTGAACCTAGTCATATCTGAAGGTTCTACAGTCTGGATTAGGGTGGGGGGATGAATTCCCTTCTAAAGCCTTGGCTGAGGGCTACCCCCAACTTTAATCGTCATTTCAGTCTTGACGTCAATTCCTCCCCCAGAAATCTTCCCATATTTTCCTACGATTCTGAGAGCGCCTGCTGGATGATGGCTTCTGCATCTGGGTCCCGGCTATTCCTGCGCTTCTCATCGTACTTGTAGAATCCCTGACAGGGCAGAGTCCGTGTGCAGCTTAGGTGGTTTTCACGCGGGCTCCATGTGCTTCTCCCTTGCTTTGCCAGCTTTCGTGTGCTTCCACTGCCATGCAGGCAAAGTCCAATTGGAAGTGTACCAATACAAAGCCCTGCACATCCTGAAGTCTGCGCCCGTGGCTGGCTTGCCAGGTTCTGGGCTCTGGGTTAGTGTGAGCAGCGCAACTTGCACCAGCACAAGACAACAGCAGCACCGCCAATAGCAGCAGCAGCAGCAGCAGCAGCAGCAGCAGCAGCAGCAGGTCGCGTTGCTGCTGCTGAGCGGCTTGGTAGCGTCACACCGTGTCGAAAGTCAAGAGCTAAGGCTTTACATTTGCCATAATCATGAGTAGAAACAGCAAAACAAAGCAGCAAGATAGCACATGTAGACAAGCTTCCGGGAGATGATGCCTTGCCGTTCTTCTGTCCGAAGCGTTCGGCTTTGTATCTGAGCAATGAATAGCCACAAGCGGTTTCAACAATTGCAACAACACAGCAGAACGAAGGCCAGTTCAGCGTTCTAATTTCTCTCTCAAAGTGTGGGGTCTTTAATCCTTTCTGGCACAGCGCCTCCAATTCTACCCATCTGCTCTGGGCAGGTATCCAGATAGATCCTGCTGAGGACGCGTGGCCTCAGCCCTTTAGCCCTGAAGCAGCTTTCTTAGTGCAGCGCATGGCATCAAAAACGTTCTTCTCCGGCTGCGCAATGCCAGCCCTCAGCTGTCTCTACACGAGCCCCCTCCGTAGGGTTGAGGATTTCGGGGCCAAAAACACGACTTATAATGTGAGGAGCATGAAAACCTCGTCCCAGAAACAAGCGGCAAAAGCAATGATCAAAGCAGGGAAAACTTGCCGTGGAAGCGAGCAAGCTAGATCAGAGCAACGAGCTTTGGGGAAACATGCGATATTGATCATCCCTTAAGAACGGTACCTGTAACAGAGTACCAACTACCAACAGATCTCATACTAGGGAAAGGAGCGCTCGATCTGAGGGAGACGGGATCAAAACTGCTTCAAAACAAAGGGCTTAGCTCGCTCTCTCCCGAAGAGGTCGATGCCCACCAGGTCATTCATCCGAGCTGGGCCCATGCGCATGCCGTACGCCTGCGTGGGGTGGAGAAGTATGCCTTCAACCAGGATATCGGTGTGAAATCATGTCCCAAGGAACTAACCAAAATGAAGAGACAAACCTCTGAAACTCACAAACCTCTGCTATTGAGCAGCTGAAAAAAAGCCATTTCTACTAGACTAGAGGCCGACATACAGCAATCCTCTAAGACGATAGGCATGCCTAGCAGCAAACATTTTGTTCCGGGCTCCAGAATGCAAAGCACTCGCAAGCCCAAAGTGCCCGAAATTACAAGCACCTGTTGCATGCGCGTTCTTCATGGGTACGATGGCTATACTAGCAGACTTTTGGGGGTGTCGGGAAGACTTGTAAAGAGTGGGAAAAGCCCGGTTCTTTCCCTGCCCTCAGCGGCCTCTGCGGCCTCGTCAATCTCGTGAGGCAGCAGGCCTCTCACACTCAAGTTATCGCTCATGGGACTAGAAGATGTTGAAGCCAAAAATGTTTTGCGATTTGCGAGGGCGTTGGAAGATTTCGCAAAGCCGGAATGTGGGTGGTGCAAGACGCTTCGAACAGCTGGAGCTCCGTCCTCACTCAGAACAGCCGCGTATGAGCGCACAGCATCTCTGGACTTCTGCAACATTTACACCTCCAAGGTAAGGCTTCAGAAGAGGCAGACTCTCCCCTCCGCGGAAATAACTTCAAAGGTTTCCAGGGATCGAGCATGGATGATGTATGATAATGACTAAGTAATAGGTATTAATAGTGTACGGTACATCATATTCAGTCCCAATTCCCAATCGAAAGATACTTTCAGATCGCAATTTCCGCATGCCACTAGATCCAAGCCCAGAAAGTTCTCCTTCACAGGCACCTTCAGCAGTCCTATTCTAGGCAGCGCCTCTTTTTCATCCTCTCCAAGCTACCAAGCCCGGAGTGACGACGCAGAGTGTATGCGCGCGAAATGCCACAGCAGCTGCGGCTGGCAATAAACCTTGGTATCCTGCAGAAGACTTCGTGGCTCTTTTTTACCTCATACGACTTGGGATCATGCTTCATCTTCTGCAGGGAATCGGGGATTGCCTGGTAACAACGCCACCAGGAAGCAAGAAATCTCGCCTCAGGGGCATGAGGATGCCCGTCCAAAGAGTGTTGAAGATCGTATGTGATCTTCCA